TACATTTAGGTCATTGACATTTGAAATTATTTTGAAGTGTGTAGTTGGATTAAAGTATGCATTTTATATGCTACTTTTTATTTTCTGCCTTTGTTTTTTGATACTTTTTTGTCTTTTACTCTTTTCTGCCTTTTGTGGTTGTGTGTATGTGCTTGCATGTGCATGCACATGCATGTGTATGCTGGTACTGGGGCTTGAACTCAGGCTGGTCCCTTAGCTCTTTCACTCAAGGTGAGTGTTTTACCATTTGAGCCACAGCTCCACTTCTAGCTTTTTGGTGATTAATTGGCAATGAGTCTTATGCACCTTCTTGGCAGAGCTGATTGGAACCACAGTGCTCAGATATCCTGAGTAGCCAGGATTACAAACATGGGCCACCAAGGCTCTGCCTTTTGTGGTTTTAATTGAGCATTTTATGCAATTTCATTTCTTCCTTTCCTTTATCAGTTACTTGTTTGTTTGTTTATTATTTTGGGGTACTGGAACTTGAACTCAGGGCTTTGTTCTTGCCTGACTATAGCATGAGATCTCTTGCTTTAATTTTCAGATGGAGTCTCATTTTTTTTTCCTTACGTGATTTGAACTAGATTCTCCACTACTTAGGCCCTCTCTTGTAGCTGTGATGTCAGGTTATTTGTTGAGATAAGGGTCTCACTTTTTGCCCAGCATAGCCAGTGAATGTGTATTCTCTTGATCTTTACTTTTTGAGTAGCTGGGATTACAGATGTGAGCCTCTGTGCCTGGCCAATTATAATATTTTTTTAAAAAAAGAAATAAAAAAAACTTTTAGTAGTTACTCAAGAATGTAATAGTTAACTCAGGTATAGTGCTTTTAATTCAGTGGTATTTGCTTACCTAGCATGCTTAGCTACCTGGGTTTGATTTCAGAACCAAAAGAAAAATAATAGTTTTTAGTATACACATAAAACTAATCTAAGTGTCTTTTATTTCAAATAATTTTATATTGCTTTATAGGTAATATGAGTCCTAAATCCTCCCTGCTGTACTTTGAATAATTGATGTTACTTGTTTTATTTTGGTAAGCATACAAATACATAAGTATGTATAACTCAAAATATTATTTTGAATAATACTGTTTATTACGAATAGCATATTTTTATTTTCCCTACTCCTTCAGTGTACTTCCTTCCTTATGCAGATCCAGGTTTCTGAACTATATATTCCCTTTTTAAAAGAATATTTTGCAATATAGTTTTCCTGGCCACAAATTCCCTCAATGTTTATATGAGAAAATCTTTATTTCATCTTTAATTGTGAAAGATGACTTCAAGGGGTACCAAATTCTTGGTTGATGTTTTATTTTCTTTCAACACTTTAAGTATTTTATTGCACTTTCTTTTTGGTTGTATGATTTCTAAGAGGTCAGATATAATTTTTATTTCTCCATTGATAAGGCATTTCCCTTTCTCCCTTCTAAGGTTTCTTCCAGAATTTAAAAAAAAAATATTTCTTTAATTTGAAAATACATGGTTAGGTGAAGCTTTTTTAGTACTTATTCTGTTAAGTGTTCTCAGTTTTCTGAATTTCTGGTTTGCAATTTAACACTAATTTGGAAGTAGTTCTCCGTCATTGTTATTTCAGATATTTCTTGTTTTTTCTTTCACTTCTGATATTCCTATTGTGTATAAATTATACCTTTTGTACTTGCCTAAATCTTTTGATACTCTGTTATTTTTAGCCTTAGTTTTCCTTGCTTTTCACTTTTGTAGGTTGATAAGTCCTCATAGTCAGATATTTTTTCTTTAACTGCATTCAATCTGCTAATAAACCTATCAAAATGAGTCTTCTATTCTGTTACAGTGTTTTTGGTCTCTTAACTTTTTAAAAATTCTTTCTTAGAATTTCTCTCTCTGCTTTGCATTGCCCATCTGTTCTTAAATTTTGTCTACTTTATCTGGTAGAGCCCTTCTCACATTAATCATAACTGTTTCAAATTCCTGATCTGTTGTATTTGACAGCCCTGCTATATTTGGTTCTGATGCATGTCCTGTCTTTTTAAATTGTAATTTTTACCTTTTAGTATTATGAATTATAATATTGTTAATGTCTGTGCTTTATAAACAGGTAAAAGGAATTATTGTAAATCGATCGTTAGTAATATGGCAGTAAGGGACCAGAAGAAGGTATATATATGTCCTATTTTTAGATCTCTGTCTTTTATTTGCCTGTGTCTCTGATTTGTGAGCTTCAGTGTAGATTCTTGGTCCTCTCTTCCCCTTTAGTTGAGATAAAATAGTAGTAGTGTGGGTTAGCAGTGAATATTTTCTTTCCATTATTGGGAAGGTTAGAACTGGTGGTGTGTAGGATATGTCTTTCTCTTTCTCAGGTTACTTACAGATAAAACTTACTGATAAAACCATAGGCAGATCAAGGGTATGGTTAAATAGCTTCTTTTGAGAGCAGAGTTTGCTAAGAATGAATAGCTTTGGGTATTTAAAATGGTTCTTTGCAGAAAATGCAGTGGCATTTTTCTCTGAAATTTCTTGTGAGAACCTGGTTGAGACCCTGATGTTCAAACTTGAGAAAAGATGTCTCTTACAAATAGGTTCTCTGAACCTAGGTCTCCTTGGCACAGGCCGAAATTTTCTTAATAGAGACCCAGAAACACAACAAATCAAAGAAAGGTTGGACAAATGGGATTGCATGAAATTGCAGAGCTTCTGCATGGCAAAGGACAATCCGTGAGCTTGGATTTGGGAGATCTTCACTAGCCATACAACAGACAAGGCTCTCATATCTAAAATATACTTGGAACTCAAAAAATTAAATCCCCCCAAAACAAATCCTCAAAGAAACAATTGCCCAATAAATAAGTGGGCTAAAGACTTAAAAGAGAAACTTCTCTGAAGAGGAAAGAAGGATGGCCAATAGGCACATGAAGAAATGCTCAACCTCTCTAGCCATAAAAGAAATGCAAATCAAAACTACATTGAGATACCACCTCACCCCAGTTAGAATGGCTATAATCAAGAACTCTAATAACAACAAATGCTGGAGTGGATGTGGACAGAAGGGAACCCTACTGCATTGCTGGTAGGAGTGTAAACTTGTTCAACCACTTTGGAAAGCAGTATGGAGGTTCCTCAAAAGACTCCACATAGAGCTCTCCTATGACCCAGCAATCCCACTTTTGGGCATTTACCTAAATGTTCACAAACAAGACCATACTAAAGCTACCAGCACAACTATGTTTATTGCAGCATTATTTACCATTGCTAAGATATGGAACCAACCCAGATGCCCCTCAGTAGATGAATGGATCAAGAAAATGTGGCATATATGCATAATGGAATTCTGTGCCTCCATCAGAAAGAATTACATTGCCCCATTTGTTAGGAAATGGAAAAACTTGGAGAAAATTATATTAAGTGAAGTAAGCCAGGCCCAAAGAAACATAGGCCCCATGGTTTTCCTTATTTGCAATAACTAGTATATGTCTGAGACAAGCAGAAAAGGTCAGATAAGTTGATGTGAGGCGAAATGAACCCCAAGATAAGGACTGAAATGTTTTTTCTTTCTTGCTATTGTTTCTAACATATTTATAAGATGATTTCTTTGTTGCTGTGTATGTCCCCCCACCCCCACCCCCACGGTATAACCCGTTTTCCTTGTATTTGATGTTGGTGTAATTTGTGGTGGGGAAGGGAAAAAACAAATTGTTGAAATAGTGCTACAGGTGGACCCATTGCAACAATGAGATGTACAAGACATTATGGCGAAAAACGAACTTTACAACTTTGGTGTGTGTGTGGGGGAGGGGACAAAGGAGGATGCAACAATGCTTGATAAGAAATGTACTCATTACCTTGCTCATGTACTTGTAACCCCTCTGTATGGTATTTTCACAATATAAATAAATAAATAGGTTTTCTGGAGGTTTTTTTTGTTTTTTGTTTTTGTTTTTGTCATTCGTGGGGCTTGAAATCTGGGCCTGGGCACTGTGCCATTTCCAGTTTTCTGAGTGGTTTATTGGAGATAAGAGTGTCATGGACTTTCCTGCCCAGGCTGGTTTTGAACCACAATTCTCAGATCTCTGCCTCCTGAATAGCTAGGATTACAGGTGGACCTACCAACAACCGGTTGTTTTTTTTTTTTTATTGTGAAACTGCTGTACAGAGGGATTACAATTACATGGGCAAGATAACCGGCTGGTTTGTTTTTGTTTGTTGTTGTTGTTTTTTAAAATAATCATAGGTGCTCTTTCCAAATGTTTAGCAGTGCATCAGTTGTACTTCATGTTTTCCTGCCTCAACAGAAAGTTGAGGCAGGAAGTCTTTAAATCCTTGGCTTCTGTAAACTAAGACTCCCTGTGTTCACTTATTGATCTTTGTGGTTAGTGTCTTGTCCTCCTCAGACTACAGCTTTTTTTGGTTATTCTGAGATTTGAATTCAGAGCCTAACACTTCCTAGGCAGGTGCTCTCATCTTTTTTTCTTTGCACTGGTAATTTTTGAGATATAATCTTGCTTTCTGCTCAGGAATACATGTGGAGACACATGCAACTATGCTCAGCATCTTTTCCTTTGAGATGGAGTCTCACAGACTCTTCTGCCCAGATTGGCCTGGAACCTTGATCCTCCTAATCAGTCTCCTACATAGTTCAATTAAAAGATATATACCACTGGGTTGATTTATATATGTTGAGAAGGAATCTCACAAACATTTCTACCTGGGCTGGCCTTGAACCTCTGTCCTCCCATTCTCAGCCTCCTAAATAGCTAAGATTGCAGGTATGAACCACTGACACCCAGCTTCAACTTCTGCTTAATGTTATGATGGAGTGGTGATTTCCTTCTGGAACTTAGAACTGAAGTATGTTTTTTTTTTTTAAATGAGTAACTCTTAAATCCTTTTTATCATAAACATAATCATAATCTTTCTTATCATTAATGAGATGAATTGTGTGTCATCAGGTAAGTGAAAGATAATATATTTTCTTTTATATACCATCTGCTGATATTTCTTTTTTACTTTTTTTAGGTTAATACAATCTGTTGGAATGACACAGGGGAATATATTTTATCTGGCTCAGATGACACCAAGTTAGTAATTAGTAATCCTTACAGCAGAAAGGTAAAGTGGTTTAAATATCTATAATCTGGGGCTGAGAAGGTGGCTCAGTGGTAGAGTGCTTGCCTTGCATGCATGAGGCCCTGGGTTCAATTCCTCAGCACCACATAAGCAGGAAAAAAAAAAGCCGGAAGTGGTGCTATGGCTCAAGTGGTAGCATGCTGGCCTTGAGCTGAAGAGCTGAGGGACAGCGCCCAGACCCAGAGTTCAGGCTCCACAACCGGACCCAAAATAAATAAATAAATAAATAAATATAATTTAATGAGAAAAAAATCAAGAAGCTAGAAAAGTAGCTGAAAAATATCATGGGATGGGCATTTTATAATATATATCTTGTTTAAAGTTAATTTTCAATTTAGAAGTTATATTTATAACTTTTAGTTTTCTTAGGGATATGTAAGATTTTAATCATCTTTAGAATCTAGATCATTTATGTTTTAATGATTGCCACTGATATCATTATTTCAATGACATTGTTTGGGTAAAAAAAAAAAACCCATAAAACTCCAAAGGAAAAGCTTTGTAGTTTCTACTATTTGTGAAGCAAAGTTCTCTCCAAATTATGTACTTCCTTTTGTATTTAAAAGTAATTTGAGATGAAAATATTGGCGAGAGAATTAATAATGCCAATTATTTACATTTGACTACTAGTTTTCCAAAACAGTTTTGAGTCTTGGTAAACCTTGTTCAAATTTGTATATACTGACATTCTTCCCATAGCTTCAGTTTTGTAAACATTCAACTTTAGTAAATTTGAAACATTTAGAAAGGAGTATTAAAAGTATTAAAGGAGGACTTTTATAAGGCCTTTTAAGAGGATAATAAAAAATACTAATCTTAATTTAGGCACTTAAAAAGAACTTGTCTTAACTGCATATTATTTTAATATGTTTGCTTTTACCATTAATTTTTACTTTAGGAATAAAACTTAAACTTTGAAGTGTGCTATGCTCATGCCTGTAATCTTAGATACTAGGCAGATGGAGATGGGGTGAATTACAGTTTGAGTGAGCCTGGGCAAAAAGTTTGAGTGACTCTATTTCAATCAATAAAAAGCTGGATGTGATGGCACCCACCTACTATAAATGATTCGATTGATGGAAAGTGAGCCACAGAGTCTGTTACTGTCCTCACTTTATCAAGTAAATTGGAATTGGTAGTTTAGTATAATTTCAAATTGAATTTTCCATATGAATAAAGTTGAATATTATTTCTTATTTTTAAGGGTTATTTGTGTATCTTTGGATTGTGTCCAGGCCTTTTACCATTTAAAAAAAAAATCAAGACTTGTTGGTTTTCCTCTCAATTTTTAAGGGCTACTATCGGGAATTAGTCCTTATCTGTTAATTTATGTTGCAAATATTAAAGTACTAATTTTAAACTTTGTCACAGTTATGGTGTTTTAAATATAATTAATTGGAAGTGGTACTGTGACTTAAGTGGTAGAGTGCTACCCTTCAGCATGAAGATGCTCAAAGATGACACCTAGGCCCTGAGTTCAAACACCAGGATATGGGTGTGTGTGTGTGTGTGTGTGTGTGTGTGTGTGTGTGTGTGTGTGTGTGTGTGTGTGTGTGTGTGTGTGTGTGTGTGTACATATATATATATGGAATTGGATGTTGTAATTTCTGATGTAGCCTTATTTTTACTATGTCATTATTTTGATTTTGAGTTATTTAAGATGAATTTTGTTTCTCCATCCTAAAAAAGAATAATCACTTAGTATTATAGCCACCTTCCTTTTATTTGTGGTACTAGACTTAGCCTTGGGCTTGCTAGGCTATCCTAATCTACCACTTGAACATATTCTCAGCTACAGTTCTTTCTTATACTAAGATTTTATGAATGAGTAAAATATGCATTGTGTGTGTGTGTATGTATGTGTGTATCCGTACAAGTACGTGTGTGTGCATACACTACTCCTGGGCCTTGAACTCAGGGCCTCACATACTCACTCTACTTTTTTGCTCATGACTGATACTATACCACTTGAGCCATGCCTTCACTGCTGACTTTGGTGGTTAATTGGAGATGAGTCTCATAGATTTGTTTGCCCAGGTTGAATCTGAATCTATCTTCACATCTCAGCATTCTGAGCTTAGCTAGGATTATAGGCATGAATCACCAGTGTTTGACAGTATTTGCCTTTTATGACACTTATTTCAGTTGATGGTAATTATTTCAACTCAGGACAATTTTTTTTTGTAAACTTCTGTTTTTTTCCTAACTATAATAGTTTAAATTACACTTTTGTTGAAATGAGAATATTAAAGAGCATTTGCTACTGATTATATATTAAATATATATGTTTCTTCATAGGAAAAATAAATTATCATGAACTGTCTCTATTTAGGTTTTGACAACAATTCGTTCGGGACATCGAGCAAATATATTTAGTGCAAAATTCTTACCATGTACAAATGATAAGCAGATTATATCCTGCTCTGGAGATGGAGTGATATTTTATACTAATGTTGAACAAGATGTAGAAACTAACAGACAGTGTCAATTTACGTGCCATTATGGAACTACCTATGAGGTAGGATATTATGATTATTATATATTGTAAAGGTGTAGTGTGCATATGTAAATGTATACATCTGCATATACATACATGTTTGTGTACATGACCCATACATAGAAATTATTGGCAGACTCAGCAAAACGTTTGAAAAAATTCATCTTCATAGATTTGTGAATAAGATGTATTAGTATTATAAGTTGAATTTGTAACATTTTTAACTATGTGATTTTGTAGTAATTTTTGCCCTCTGAAACACTTTTATCTCATTGCCTTGCATAAAGTCATTACTAACATCTTTAGTACATAAGTTTGTTTTCTGTTGCTAATAACACAATACCACAGACTGGGTAAAGGGTAATTTTTTTGGAGTAGAATTGCGATTTGAACTTGTGGTTTTGTGCTTACTAGACAAACTACCATTTGAGCCATGCCCTAGGTCTTTGGTAAATTAAGGAAAATGAATTTATTTTGACTCATGGTTGTAGTACGCAAGATGGAGGGGCTGCATCTAAGGATGGCCAACTTCTCTGGCAAAGTTCTGAGATAGTGCCACATCACATGTCAAGAGATAGCCTCTACAAGCATGTGTGCATGTGTGCACATGTGTGTATGTGCTAGGGTCTCTTCTTTTTCTTATAAAGCCAGCAGAATTTAATCAGGGAGGGCGTACCCTAATTACCTTTTTTAATCCTAATTATACCTCTCAGAGCCCTACCTGTATTCTTAATATTTCAGAATGTGAATTAATTCTTAACATACCAAGCCTTTGGGACACACACTCAAACCATATCCTGGGATTACAAGCACAGAAAACTACACCTAGCATCTTTTACATTTAGACAGAATCTGGTAGAATTTCTGCTTAGAGTCACCTAGAATTGAAATCTTTTTTTTTTATTTTGCCAATCCTGGGGCTTGAACTCTTGGCTCAAGGCTAGCGGTCTACCACTTGAGCCATAGAGCCATTTCTGGCTTTTTCTGTTTATGTGGTACTGAGGAATTGAACCAGGGCTTCATGCATGCTAGGCAAACACTCTACCACTAAAGCTACATTCTTAACACCTGGAATTGTAATCTTCCTAATCTCAGCTTCCATGTAATTTCAGATGACAACTATAAGCCACTGGTACCCAGTTCTCAACACTGTTCTTTTTTGCTTTTGTTTTCTTATTTTTTTCTCTAGTTTTTGTACCAAGCTTCTTTTGCTGAACAAATGCTTATATTTGTTAAAGTCATCTATGTTGTGCACAAGTAGAAGTCTCTTTTTTTTGGCAGGGGTTGGGCTTCTACTGGGCTTGAGCTCAGGGCCAGGGCTCTATCCTTCTACTACTTGAGCCACAGCTGCACTTTTTCCAGCTTTTTGGTAGCTTATTGAAGGTAAGAGTCTCATGAATTTTCCTGCCTGGGCTGGCTTCGAAATGTGATTCTCAGACCTTAGCCCACTGAGTAGCTAGCATAATTTACCCATTTTTATTGTTGTATAGTGTTCTATTGCATGGATATATGCTTTACCAGCTCTATTGTTGATGAAAAATTGAAGATTTAATTTTCCAGTTTAGAAAACATTCTTTTGCATACAGAACTACACATATTTTTAGGGAGTATAAATTAGAGTAAGAGTTACTTGGGCTTGGTACCTGTGGCTCACCCCTGTAATCCTAGCTACTCAGGAGGCTGAGATCTGAGGATCATTGTTCAAAACCATCCAGGGCAGGAAAGTCCGTGAGACGCTTATCTCCAATAAACCACTAGAAAACCAGAAGTGGTGCTGTGGCTCAAGTGGTAGAGAGCTAGCTTTGAGCTGAAGAGCTCAGGGACAGTGCCCAGGCCCAGAGTTCAAGTCTCACAACCGATTTAATTGTTTTAGCAATAATGCCAAATAATTGGTTAACTGTGATACTAACTATATTGTCACCAACAACATATAAAAGTTTGTATTGCAGCTCATCTTTGCCAATAACGTCTTACTTTTTTTTTTTTTTTAGAAGATACAGATTATCATCTTAATGTGGTTTCAACTTGCTGAATTTCATTGATGATACTGCTTAGATTGAGCATCTGCTCATATATTTATTATTTATTTGGATATATTCTTGTGAAGTATATGTTTTGATCTGTGCCTATTTTTTTAATTAGATTACCAATCCTATTTATTTTATTATTTTCTTTTTTTTTTTTGGGTCCGGTCATGGGGCCTGAACTCTGGGCCTGGGTGCTGTCACCTCAGCTCTTAAGCTCAAGGCTAGCGCTCTACCACTTGAGCCACAGCGCCACTTCCACTTCCGGATTTTGTCTTTTTTCTTATGTGGTGCTGAGGAATTGAACCCAGGGCCTCAAGCATGCAAGGCAAGCACTCTACCACTGAGCCACCTTCCCAGCCCCTTATTTTATTATTTTCTATTTATGACAGTTTCCTGTATCTCTTGTTTTACTTTGTGGTAATATCTTCACTCTCTTGAGTTTAGTCTTTTGATTAAAAGAACTACTTAATATTTTTGTAAGTTGGTCTTTTCTTTATTATTAGTAGCTTTGCAGGCTGGCAATAAATATTTTATTCCAAAGTTGGGAATATATTTTTCTGTTTTCTCTTTTGGAGATTATATTGCTTTTTTTCCCCCAGTATTTAGATCTGCATTCCATCCGGGTTTGATTTTTGTTATAGTGTGGCATAGTTGTCCTTTTTTTCCCCCAGATGACATAATGCTCATGTGTTGAAGGCTGTAAATTCAGAGGTGACTGGATCATGAGAATATCTTACTTAATTGATTAATCTGTTGATGAATTCATAACTGTACATAAATTAAATATGAGGTGGAGCCTGGATGGAGGAAACAGGCTCGCATCTGAGGGGCCTATTTAACTTTGTGTGTGTGTGTGTGTGTGTGTGTGTGTGTGTGTGTGTGTGTGTGTGTGTGTGTGTGTGTGTGTGTGTGTGTGTGTTTGAGGTGGGTTTTTGGTATTTGTCTGAGCTTGGCTTTCAACTGAACATCTTCCTTTTGAGTGCTGGGATTACAGATAATTTGTAGCCATATCTTGCCTAAAGGATGTGTCTTCTTATTTTCCTACCTCTCCTTTCTCCCAACTTTTCTCCACTGTCTTTGAGGCAATTTTCTAATCTTCTGGAGATTAGAAGTGGAATTACTGAGTCCATATGATAACTCCGTTTTACATTTATTGTGGAACTTTCACATTGTTTCTCTAGCAGCCTGTAACATTTTTTTTCCCACTAGCAATGCAGGAAGGAATCCATTTCCTCATTTCCTCACCAACATTTGTTAAAATCAGGTATTTTTTGTTGAATATCCTAACAGGTTTGAAATAATGTCTCATTTTGATTTTGATTTACTCAAACTTTGATATTAAACATTGCATCTGCTTATTGGTCTCATATATATGTGTATTTATGTATAAATATATGTATGTATGTGCCTCCTTATCTATATGACTATAATATATAAATAATATATAATATATTTAAGAATATTTTTATATGTAATATTTTATATGAACATTCATGATATATTAATATTAAGAAATATATTAATATAATAAATATATAATTAATATGTGTATAACATACACGTGTGCATAATGTACATATATTATGTATATGTGTATATATTGTACATATATGTATAACTATATATGTATATATATGTATATATACACATATATGTATATATGTATTATGTATATATATTTATATAATTTTTTTGTGAAATGTCCATCTCAAGTTCTTTGCTGCCCCTCCCTTCAAATTGGTGCTAATGATTGAACATAGAGCCTTTCTTATATGCTGGGAAAGTGATATACCACCAAGCTACATCTGCAGCCTGCTATTTGCCTTGTGTGTGTGTGTGTGTGTGTGTGTGTGTGTGTGTGTGTGTGTATGTGTGCATGTGTGCATGTGGGTTGGTTGTTGGTCTTGAACTTAGAGCCAGCCTGAGTGCTGTCCCTGAGCATTTTTGTTTAAAGCTAGCAGTCTACCACTTGAGCCATATGTCTACTTCCGGATTTTGTGGCACTTAATTGGAAATCATACTTTCCTGCCTGGGCTGGCTTGGAACCATGATCCTCAGATCTTAGTCTCCTAATTAGCTAGGATTATAGGCATGAGCCACAGGTCCCATGGCTTGCCTTTTTTTCTCTTTTTTCCTTTATTTATTTATTTTTTTGGCTGGTTCTGGGCCTTCAACTTGGTTTGGAGATTGTCCCTGAAGCTCTTTGTGCTTAAGGTTCTACTACTTGAACCAGAGCAACACTTCTGGCTTTTTTTGAGTAGTTTATTGAAGATAAGAGTCTTACCCAGTCTAGCTTTGAACTATGATCCTCATATCTCAGCCTCCTGAATAGCTGGATTGCAGGCATGAACCTCCAGTGCCCACCACCATTTTTTAATTGCTTTTTTTGTTTTCCACTTACAGAAGTTTATTGTATATTCCTTTGTCAAATGTATGATTTGTGAATATTTTCCACCTGTTCCATAGGTTGCCTTATTATTTTGTTGATTTTTATGTTTGGTATAATCCTATTTGTCAATTTTTTTTCTTTTGTTACATTTGTTACATTCATTATAGCTAAGAAATTATTGCCATCTCCAATGTTAGAAAGGTTTTTCCTATGTTTTCTTCTAGGAATATTATAGTTGGAGGTGTTATGCTTAGGTCTTCATTGCAATGTAAGGTATGAAAAGGTCCAACTCTATGCTTTTATATATGGAAAGCCAGGTTTTCCTACAATATTTGCTCAATACACTGTTTTTCCCAATGGTATATTATTGGGAATTTTGTTGAAGATTATTTGATCATGAGTATGTACATTTTATGTGTTATCCTACCCTTTTATAATTTGTTTTTATTAGTTACATTTTTTTAGATTCCACATATACGTGAAATCATTCAGTATTTATTTGTGTTTTGCTTATTTCCTTAGCGTAAGCTTCACCCATTCATCTGTGTTGTCACAAATGGCAGGATTTCCTTTTTCTTTTTAGACTGAATAATATCCCTTTATGAGTTTATGTTCATATATGCACATACAGAGGAGGCACATTCCTTTATCCATTCATTCATCAATGGACAGGATATTTCCATTTATTGGCTGCTGTGACTAGTGCTCCTATGAGCATGTGTGCAAAGATTTTTTTTGAGATAATTTATTTCCTATATAAGTCAGATCCTATAATACTTGGACTTTTTGGAAATTCTCCTTATTGTTTTGCTGTACCAGTTTACATTTCTACTGATAATACATAATGGTTTCCTTCTAGGTGTAGTGGCTTAAGACTGTCATCCCAGTATTTGGAGGCTGAGGTAGGAGGACCTCTAATTCTATTTGAGGCCAGCCTACACTTTGGTTGTTGTCTTTTTCTTCTATTATTGGAGCTCTTTTGACTGGGCATTTTATAGTTTTCTTTTCCAGGGTAAAAATCTTGTTATTCATTGTTGATTGCAAAATTATTATATATATTGTGGGGCTTGAACTCTGGGCTTGGGCGCTGTCCCTCAGCTCTTCAGCTCAAGGTGAGCACTCTACCACTTGAACTACAGCACCACTTCTGGTTTCCTGGTGGTTTATTGGAGATAGAAGTCTCACGGTCTTTCCTGGCTTTGAACCATGATCCTCAGATCTCAGCCTCCTGAGTAGCTAGGATTACAGGTGTGAGCCACTGGTGCCCGGCTTTACAAAATTGTTCTATACAAAGAATAGGCTATACTCTAGTTAGATTTAGCCTAAGAGTGTAGATCTATCATTATATCTATATATCTGACGTATATACAACACACATTTATTCTCATGCAGCATTATTATAAAAATTCTCGAAGTCAGGAGTCTGAAATAATTCTTAAAAGGGTTGGCAGATATATGTGCCTTCAGGTTTTACCTTGCCAGCTTCTAGATTCCCTTATGTATTCTTGAATCAAGGCATCCATCTCCAAGTCAGCCATTTAGCATTTTTAAATCTTCGTTTGTCTCTCAACTTTTTCCATTATTTGTCATCTTCTCTACTTTTTCTTGACTATCCCCTTCCAGTCATAAAGACTCATATTTATATTGGACCAATGTGGGTAATTGTTAGTAGTATATAGTCATAGGTTCCAGGAATTAGGATGTGAACATGTCTGAGGCACCACTATAATAGAAAATAAAGGTTTCCTAAATAAAATTTTAAAGTACAATATGCATATAGGCTGTAGTACTACCTACAGCCTGTATTTTTACAAAATCACATGTACTCAGAACCAAGAACAACATCCCTAACAGCCCTTTGTGTATAACAAAAGTTCAAAGTAATCACTGTTTAATCTCTTTCAACAGCAGAAGTTATTTTGCCAATTTTTAGAAACTATATTATGGAAATACTATAAATAAATATAGATTCATCTCCTTTTTATTTCTGGCTTCATTTTCACATTAGATTTATTTATGTTGCTGAAGCTGGTATAGTTTGGTTATTGCTATACTCATCTCATATTGTAAGAATTTTTTTGTTTCAGTATTTGGCTCATCCAGTGCCACTATGAACATTCTAATACATGTATCTAGATGATGTATGCAGGTGTTTATTTTATTGAAAAGGCATACATCTGAACTAGTGGATACTAACATACTGTTTTCTGTGTAATTGCACCTTTGTATACTCCCATTGACAATACATTTCTGCTTCTCCGTGTATTCATCAATAATACGTTTCTTTCATCTTGGCCATTCCAATGATATTTAGTGCTATTTCCTTATATGTTAATTTGCATTTTTAAAATAATTAATGAATTATATCACTTTGGAGCATATACAATATTTTTTAAACATAGGAACATGTTTTCCACTGTTTGAGTACATAAAACCATATATGAAAATACTAAATACCCAAAGACAGAGGAAGAGAACTTTTGGAGACAGAGGTCACAAGAGAACATTAACTGAGTGTCTTAAAATCCCTGAATTAGAAGTGGTTACAGAACCATTTAAAATATGCTAATTCTTTAAAAATGTTTTATTGTGGAAAAGTGTATGTAACATTGATTTAAACATTTTTGATTGTATAATTCTGTAACATTAAATAAATTTATGTTGTGGTGTAACTGTTACCACCATATAAGATTCTTTTTGAGAAGTGCATTTATTCATTTAAGTCATTTCAGCAGCCTTTTAAAAAAGATTAGAGAAGAAAATTTTATCACATATTTGTAATATAGGATAAATTTACTTATAGAAAATATTAAAAAAATTGATCTTAAGTAGTTTGAATAATTATATCTAGGGGATAATCTTTCTTGTCAAAGTTGTTAATATTTTTGAAGAGTTGTTCATATTTTTGAAGTTATAGTATATCTGAAGTTGTAGTAATTATAATTTCAAAATAATAATATTGTTCTGGTGTCTACTTGTATTACACTGTTTTAAATCATGGTGTAGATAAGTCATAGATAATTCAAAATAATGGTTTTGTTGCCTTCACATTAATCATTTTATGAAATATTAGTAGTGTGTTTCAGAGCCAACTGTTTGAATATTTGTAATGTCACCTGTACTTTTGCTTGTATCTTCAGGTTATGACTGTACCAAATGACCCTTACACCTTTCTCTCATGTGGGGAAGATGGAACTGTTAGGTGGTTTGACACACGCATTAAAACTAGCTGTACAAAAGAAGACTGCAAAGATGTAAGAATCTAATTTTATATAAATGATACAGAGAAGTTATAGTTATAACTAAATTTGGATAGTTATTTATTTGGAGCTGATAAGATTTACTCCTAAATTTTGTTTTACTGATATTTTCAATTATAATTTTTTTGGTGTCAATACTGGAGTTTGAACTCAAGGCCAGGATATGCTCCCTTAGTTTTTTTCCCCCTGAAAATGGTAGTTCTAGCACTTTCAGCCACACTTCTACTTCCAGATATTTGGTGGTTAATTTGAGATAAAATTCTCACAGACTTTCCTGCCAAACCTTGATCCTCTGATGTCAGCCTATTTCATTGTTAGGATTATAGCCATGAGCCACCAGGTCTGATTAATAGTTAATAATTATCTTCTGCTATATACATTATAATACTGGCCATAGGAAAGGTAGATTTGTACTGTTTTGCCTATCAAATGCACTAACAGTAATGGCATTTCTAGTACAGTTAATGAGACAGTAACTTGTTCCATACATTGGATAAGAGTTTTTACATTTCTGAAGATGTTTATTACGTGAATATGATTTTTAGGCACTATATATTAATATATGAAATTTAGCTTATTTTAAAAAGGGGTTAAAATTGTGGAAATATAAGTTTCTTGAATTGTTTTTGTAGCAGCATTTGTATTTTTTCCCCCCCGTCTTGAGCTTGAACTCAGGGTCTGGGCACTCACTGTCCTTGAGCCTCTCTATGCTCAAGGCTACCACTTGAACCACAGTGCCACTTTCGGCCTTTTCTGTTTATGTAGTACTGAGGAATTGAACCCAGGGCTTTTTTTTTTTTTTGATTTTTTTTTTTATTGTGAAAATACTGTACAGAGGGGTTACAATTACATGAGCAAGATAATGAGTACATTTCTTATCAAGCATTGTAGCCTCCTCCCTTGTTTCCCCTTCCCATCCCATCCTCCCCCCTGCCTCCCCACCCAACCCTCTTCCTCCCCCCCCCCCCCAAAGTTGTAAAGTTCGTTTTCAACATAAAGACTTGTACGTCTCATTGTTGCAATGGGTCCACCTGTATCCCTATTTGAACGATTTGTTTTTTTTCCCCCTCCACAAATTATACCAACATCAAATACAGTGAACGCAGGGGTTATACCATGGGGGAGGGGGGGCGGGACATACAAAGCAACAAAGAAATAATCTTATAAATGTGTTAGAAACAATCGCATGAAAGAAAAAAGCATTTGAATACATATCTTAGGGTTCATTTCCCTAACATCAACTTATCTGACCTTTTCTGCTTGACTCAGACATATACTAGTTATTGCAAATAAGGGAAACCGTGGGACCTGTGTTTCTTTGGGCCTGGCTTACTTCACTAGCCATACAACTGACAAGGGTCTCATATCTAAAATATACCTGGGGGCTGGGAAGGTGGCTCAGTGGTAGAGCGCTTGCCTTGCATGCATGAAGCCCTGGGTTCGATTCCGCAGCACCACATAAGCAAAAAGAAAAAAGCCGGAAGTGGCGCTGTGGCTCAAGTGGTAGAGCGCTAGCCTTGAGCTGAAGAGCTGAGGGACAGTGCCCAGGCCCAGAGTTCAGGCCCCACGACCGGACCCAAAAAAAATAAATAAATAAAATAAAATAAAATATACCTGGAACTCAAAAGATTAAATCCACCAACAACAAATCTTCAAAGAAACAACTGTCCAATAAATAAATGGGCTAAAGACTTAAAGAGAAACTTCTCTGAAGAGGAAAGAAGGGGGCTGGGAAGGTGGCTCAGTGGTAGAGCACTTGCCTTGCATGCATGAAGCCCTGGGTTCGATTTCTCAGCACCACATAAACAACCAAAAAAAACGCCGGAAGTGGCGCTGTGGCTCAAGTGGTAGATCTCTAGCCTTGAGCTGAAGAGCTGAGGGACAGCGCCCAGGCCCAGAGTTCAGGCCCCACGACCGGCCCCCCCCAAAAAAAAAAAAGAGGAAAGAAGGGTGGCCAATAGACACATGAAGAAATGATCAACCTCTCTAGCCATAAAAGAAATGCAAATCAAAACAACATTGAGATACCACCTCACCCCAGTTAGAATGGTTATAATCAAGAACTCTAATAACAACAGATGCTGGAGGGGATGTGGCCAAAAGGGAACCTTACTGCATTGTTGGTGGGAGTGTAGACTTGTTCAACCGTTTTGGAAAGTAGTATGGGGGTTCCTCAAAAGACTCCACATAGAGCTCCCCTATGACCCAGCAATCCCACTTTTGGGCATTTACCTAAATGTTCACAAACAAGACCACACTAAAGCTATCAGCACGACTATGTTTATTGAAGCCTTATTTACCATTGCTAAGATATTGAACCAACCCAGATGCCCCTCAGTAGATGAATGGATCAAGAAAATGTGCTATATATACACAATGGAATTCTGTGCCTCCATCAGAAAGAATTACATTGCCCCATTTGTTAGGAAATGGAAATACTTGGAAAAAATTATATTAAGTGAACCCAGGGCTTTTTGCATGCTAGGCAAGCACTCTACCACTAAGCCATATTCCTAAACTCTGTAGCAGCAGTTTTTATTTGTTCCTTTTTAGAATATACTTTGTATTAGTCAGATCTTAATTTTTTTTATTTATTTATTTTTTCTTTTTGCTTATGTGGTGCTGAGGAATCGAACCCGGGGCCTCATGCATGCAAGGCAAGCGTTCTACCACTGAGCCACCTTCCCAGCCCTAGATCTTAAATTTTTTTTTTGCGTCTCAGTATTTCTATGAATTTTTATTCGGATTAACTTGTATACGAATACACTGTAATGTGGTAGAAATCAACGAATTTTTGAGATTTATAGCAAATTATAAAGAAAAAAACTTTCTTTAACTATAGTGGGTTGCTAAGGTAAAATTTGGTTCTGTATAGACTCAGTTATTTGTGATAAAGGGACCGAGCATAGTGGTGTTTGCTTGTCATCCCAGCTACTTGGGAGTCAGAGTTCTATAGGATTATGGTTAGAGGGCAGCCTAGGTGAAAAGTTAGTGACCCTCCCCCACCCCACCTCAATCAACAGGCTGGGAATGAATGGTAGTATATGCCAGTAACACAAGGTACATGGAAATGAATATTGGTTAAAAGGCTCAATGTTAAGGAGGGCCCGAGGCAAAATTATAGATCTTGTCCAAAAAAAATAAAACAAAAGGAGTTTGGGGGCTTGTCACTTATGAAGCAAGTATAAATCCTTGAATTCAAATTCTAGTACCACCAATAAAAGGAAAAAATAAGAAAAGAGTTTCTGATAGAGAATTAAGAGGTAAATTTATAAAGCCAAAATACCATGTTCTCTCTGATCTGCATAAATTAGATCTAAAACATACTAGGACATGACAAATTATACAGGATTCTACATATATGCAACGAGACCAAAAGAAGATATTTTAGGAGAGAATTAAAAAGGTACAATGCCTAAGTGCCTCTTCATATTTATATAAAATAATACACATAGAGAAATGAACTCCAAGATACGGAAACAAAAAAATTTTGTTGATTCTGTCTTCTTTACCTTATGTGTGGTATATTCATGTGTATATCTTCAGGAGGGTAGGGAGAGGGTTCAGAATCCAAGGAAGAAGGGTGAAAAAGTATAGTAGTGGAGTTCGCTGGACATCGATGAAAGTGAACTATACAACTCATGGGTGGAGATGGGAGGGAGGAACTGGGAGAGTGAGGGAACAGATGACACTGTACAAAAGGAAATGTACTTGACTCATGTAATTGTAATCCCTCTGTACATCACCTCTGTAATAACAATAAAGTATTTTTTTAAAGCAAAAATACTAGCTGGGCAGTGATGGCTTATACTTGTAATCTCAACTACTCAGCCAGGGGAGAAATGTCTGTGAGATTCCATCTGTAATTAACCAACTATAAGCTGATTTGGAGGTATGGCTCAAGTGGTTCATGAGCAGCCATGAGCAAGCAGACCAAGTGAGTTCAAGGCCTTAAGTTCAAACCCAGCAAACAAACAACAAAACCAAAATACAGTTCTCAAAATGGGAAATTATTTTCTCATCACTAAAATAAAAATATTTAAATATGTCATTTTTGCTACTATAAATCCTCTGTAATTGGTAATGTCCTGATATTTTGTAGGATATTTTAATTAACTGTCGACGTGCTGCCACATCTGTGGCTATTTGTCCACCAGTCCCATATTACCTTGCTGTTGGCTGTTCTGACAGCTCAGTTCGAATATATGATCGGCGCATGCTTGGCACAAGAGCTACAGGTAAAGATGATATTAAAGAATACATGAGTTTCCATTCATTTAAAGAATAAATTTTTGTGACATTTGGTAATTGAATATTTCTATAGCTTGGTATAAGAATTCATAAATGTAAAGGATATAGGTTATTCTTAAAAGATATTTCAATGTGTTTTTAATATTGTATTGGGATGGTGCTCTTATCAGTTTTAACACTTAATGTGTTCGTTTCCCAAGACTGCCTTAAAAATATTACCACAAAATGGAGCTCTTAAAAGAGCAGAAATCCTTTCTTACATTTCTAGCTGAGCTGGACATCTGAAATAGGAGATTAACAGAGTTAATTAAAATCAAAATTGTAAATCAGGTGTGGTAGTATAAGCATATCATCCCAGCACAGGAGAAGCAGAAGCTAGAGGATTTTAAGTTTGAGGTCAGCCTGTCTACATAGTGAGCTTACAGCCAGGCTGAGTTTATAATGAGACCTTGTTTCTTAAAACTGTGGGCTAAGGCACCTGTAATTTAGTATTGAGCAGTTGCCTAGCATGGGAAAGGCCCTGCATCTATATCATTCACTAAGGAGAAAAAAATTGGAATTTCATTCCATATTATATGCTATCAACTTTCCTGTTAAAAAACTATCTTAATTTGAAGGCATTAAAAAATGATTTATTGTGACGATTATCATAGGCTAGTTACATAACTTGTATTTAAACAAAATATATATGCTAGATTCCAAACAATCATGAATTTTTTTGTAAATATATTCTTTTTATAATATATTTTGCTATGGTCTCTGATAAGTAAAAAATAACATTTTTGTAAGTAGACTGTGATAGTTTGGATTTATATCACTTCATTGTTCCACATATGATAATTTAGGTTGAGTTTTTAAACTTTAAAACATTATGCTTTCTAAAGATGTAACTTCCTGCTTTCTGATTTAGGGAATTACGCAGGTCGGGGGACTACTGGAATGGTTGCTCGCTTTATCCCTTCTCATCTTAATAACAAGTCCTGCAGAGTGACATCTCTGTGTTACAGTGAAGATGGCCAAGAGATTCTTGTTAGTTATTCTTCAGATTATATCTATCTTTTTGACCCAAAAGATGATACAGCACGAGAACTTAAGACTCCTTCAGCAGAGGAGAGACAAGAAGAGGTAACTTTGCTCAAAACTCTGTTTTTTATCAGATTGAGGAATTATCCAGTGACTTCTGAGCCTGAAGGCAAAATAACTAAATTAACAAAAGCAAAAGGGGCTGATGACTATTGTTCTAATGTGTCAAATAAGACAGTGTTCCTATTTAAATTTTTTTTCTGGTGGTGCTAAGCATCATCCCAAGATCTTACTCATACTAGGCAAGTGCTATACTTCTGAACTAAACCCCCCCGTTGAGAGTAGGGCTTGAAAAAAAAAATACTGAGAACTGATTTTTTTTTCTTTTTTTGTGCTGGTCCTAGGGCTTGAACTCAGGGTCTGGGAGCTGTCTCTGAACTTTTTTTTTTCAAGACTAGCACTCTACCACCTGAGTCACAGCTCCATTTCTGGCTTTTTGGTGGTAAATGAAGAGTCTTTTGGACTTTTTTGCCTGGGTTGGCCTCGAACCTTTATCCTCTGTTCTCAGCCTCCTGAGTAGCTAGTATTGCAAGCATAAGCCAGGCATCTGGTTTTAGGAGCTGATTTAAAGAGAAAACATTTAATAGCAAAATGTTTCTCTAACTCTATAAATGCTCAGAACAAGAAAGATCAATACTTTTAGCCCTTACAAAAAGGCAGTTAAAATAATAGAAAATGAGATGATAAACTTCATGTGTTCAGCAATCCTTCTGCGATGTCTCTCTTTAAGTTTTTAATAAAGCCCACTTATTGATTGGATTGTTGAGTTTTTAAGGATTTATTATTTTTGGGGGGTTACACTTTTAGGCCAGGGTATTATTGGTTATGGACATGGGGTCTCTAGGACTTTTCTGTGGGGGTTGGCTTTGAATGCCAGTCCTTTGGATCTAGCCTTTTGAATAGCTAGGGTTACAGCTATGAGTTCCCTGTCCCTAGATAACTTTATTTTTTGAAACTCACTTTGTAACAGACTGGCCTCCAACCTGTAATTCTTCTGCCTCTGCATCCTGTGTGCTGAGATTATAAATGTATACCACTATGCCAAGCAAATGTATGACATTTAATAGAATTATATATAAATACTAAATTCTATAAAATAGAACAGAATAGAGAATAGATTTTTACTGGCAACACTAGTAAAACTTGAGCAATATCTTAAAGTATAAATGAAAAATTTGGAGTTGGACAATTGTATATATATATATATTACCATGTTATTTTTAAAATTATAACTTGAAGTTCTTAAGACCCTTCAGCATATTGTTAGAACAAGATGGAAGAAATGGATATAGGTATAGAATAGAATAATTATTAAAGCTGGGTGATTGTGGACTGAAGAAATAAAAAGCACAAATTGGAGTGATTAAGGCGTTAACAGAATAAATGATGCATCCTTGAGAAAAGTTAGGAGTTAAAAAGTTGTAGAGGTAAATTTATAGAATTTAGCTGAGGAAATTGGTGTCAGTTCCACAGGATGTTCTTTGTTTTCCCTGAAGTAACAAGAAATTAATATCCCAGGATAACAGGATTACAAAGTTTGAGGAAAGTGATAAAGCTTGTAATACTGGGGAGAACTGGAGAGTAAATTGCCAAATAAAGGTAAATGTAATGACTTTATACATAATGACTATATTGTTATATATGTAGGTACCTTACATAGACACAACAGTTCAAAACTAAGGTTTAAGGAGGTTAAATTCTCTTGTTAGTGATAGAAGTCATATGTACATGATTTCTAAATTTCACTCAGATGCTTTAGGTTAACAATAAGTACACCATCTATACTAATTGTGGATTGTGAGCATCAGTAGTTATTTATGAAGAGTGCTCCAAAAGACTGATGAAGTATTGTATCAATGTCTCATATACTCAGCTACCATCTCGTTTATGTACTTAATAAAGGTAGTAGGGAAATGGGAATTATCTGTTAGACTTAAAGTTATACTTTCAGAGTTGAGAGCTAGAGATACAGCTAAGTGTTAGTGCTTGCCTAGTGTGTACAAGATCTAGGTTCAATCTTCGTCAGTGAGGGAGGGGGAAAAGGTTGGAAAGTGAATACATTTTTGTTTAGACTTACATAGAATCTACCTATCCTTATCTTTAGTTACGACAGCCTCCAGTTAAGCGTTTGAGACTTCGTGGTGATTGGTCAGATACTGGCCCGAGAGCCAGGCCTGAAAGTGAACGAGAAAGAGATGGCAAGTATACATTGGTCAGATCTTTGCAGTGTATGGTATTTTAAATTAGATGGTATTTTAGCTCATTTCCAATTTCTTACTCTTATAAATATCCGTATTATCTTATACCTGTACAAATATATCTTCAAATAAATTCCTAAATGTAGAATAGCTGAGTCATTGGACAAGTTGATTTTAATTTGAATAATTATCAGATTACTTTCCAAAGTGTGAAATAATTTATATTCACACTGAAAATATAAGAACGTCCATTGCCCAGTGGAATATTGAGTGCTTAATTTTAGCTTCTACTAGATATTAGAAAAATAGGCTAGTTCAAATTTCTAGCTTGAGTGTTTTATAATAAAAAAATGTCAGATGCCTTAAGTGATAAGCATAAGAAACTACTTTGGAAGCTTTAAAATAACATACTTTAAAACAGGATTAATCTAAGTGTATTTTATTAATTGAGTCTTAGTCAAAATCTTACTCTAATGTCTAAAACTTTTGATGACCAAAAGCATATATTGCTCACATTCTATTTTTATATGTAAACGCAGTTATCCTTGACGTTATATATGTATACGTAAAGGAATAAATGTAAATTTCTGATTCCACAGAAAGTATAAAAGCAAATTTCATTTTTAAATTGTATGTATTTTTTAAATGTTAGAGCATCTTCATTTACTTTTATAAAACACTTTCCTACATCTCATTTAAATCTGCATATAATATAGCAAAGCATGTAAGGAACACAGGCATATATTATTACCATTTTAAGTAAAGACCAGGCAAAGATATCACAGTAGTGAAGTCAGGATTGATTTTTTGCTTTCTTTTTTTTTTATTATAAAGGTGATGTACATAGTTGTTAAACATCAGGTAATGAGTACATTTCTTTTTTTTTTTTTTTTGGTCGGTTGTGGGGCTTGAACTCTGGGCCTGGGCACTGTCCCTGAGCTCTTCAGCTCAAGCCAAGCGCTCTACCACTTGAGCCACAGCGCCACTTCCTGATTTTTTGCTTTCTTTGTACTCTTTTCTACTATATATAAAAATACCATCAAAGAGAATTTAGATGAAGAAAGTAAATTCATATTTCAAGTGACTAAATGTACCAAATACAGTATTCTGAGCATTTATTTTTTGGCAGACATCCTTTGATGTAACATTTCATTTAGCAGTGAAGCTGTTTTAGTACAGACAGGTTAGATAACTTGTCTGAAGTCACAATTAGGAAGTGATGGAGCTCAGAGTGACTTCAAATTCCAAACTTTTTGTGACATTTGTTTACCTGTATCCATTTTCTATCTCTTCCTTAGTAATATAATACATGATACTTAACCATAGTAATGCCATGTAAGTAAAGGACTGTATTCCATAGAATTTCATATGACTAAATTTTTGCCAAAGATATTTGAGTAAATAAAAATACTACACTGAAACTTCCAGAAGCCATACTTGAGTTAAACTTTTCTTAATCCTCCCTCTGAAATGTGTATGCTGCAACAGTATTAACAACACTAGGATACTGAGGACCATATTAGCAAGGAATTGTTACAATTTTAATTGGACATGTACTTTCAATTTTAAAATGTCCTTGTTTGCTTAAAAAGAGGAAAGGGAGTAATAGAAGAGACAAAATACTTCTGGCTAGTTTCAAATACTGTAACTTGCCAAATCAGTTTTCAGGATAATTCATGCAAAACCCAGGGTTACTTTTTTTTACATTTTTTATTGTAAAAATGCTGCACAGAGGGGTTACAGTTACATGAGCAAGGTAATGAGTACATTTCCTATTGAGCATTGTTGCCTCCTCCTTTGTTTTCCCCCTACCATCCCTTCCTTCCCACCTCTATAACTACCTGCTGTCTACCCCATCCCTCGAAGTTGTAAAGTTCTTTTTCTTTTTTTTTTTTTAAATGATGTTTATTTTTATTTTTTGTCGGTTTTTCAACATAGTGTTTTGTACACGTCATTGTTACAGTGGGTCAACCTGTATCCTTATTTAAGCATTTTGTTTTTTCCCTTCCCATCCCCGAATTAGAGAAGTGTATATACAAGATGCAGGGCACTGACATCAAATATAATGAAAACAGGGGTTGTACATACCGTGGGGAAGGAACATTTTACCATGAAACAAAAAAATCACATGATATATTATAAATATGTTAGAAACAATAGCAAGAAAGAAAAAAGATATTTGTGTCCCTATCTTGGGGTTCATTCCGCTTAAGGTCATTTTATATGGTCATATGTACATAGCTTTTGGCCTTTTCAGCTTACCCTACACATGTACTAGTTATTGCAAATAAGGGAAACCATGGCACCTATGTTTCTTTGGGCCTGACTTACTTCACTTAAAATAATTTTTTCCAAGTCTTTCCATTTCCTAACAAATGGGACAATGTCATTCTTTCTGATGGAGACATAGAATTCCAGAGTGTGTGTGTGTGTGTGTGTGTGTGTGTGTGTGTGTGTGTGTGTGTGTGTGTGTGTGTGTGTGTGTGTGTGTGTGTGTGTGTGTGTGTGTGTGTGTGTGTGTGTGTGTGTGTGTGTATACACCACATTTTCTTGATCCATTTACCTACTGAGGGGCATCAGGGTTGGTTCAATATCTTACCTATGATAAATAATGCTGTGATAAACATAGTTGTTCTGGTAGCCTTAGTGTGGCCTTGTTTGTGATCGTTTGGGTAAATGCCCAAAAGTGGGATTGCTGGGTCATAGGGGAGCTCTATGTGGAGTCTTTTGAGGAACCTCCATACTGCTTTCCAGAGTGTTTGAACAAGTTCACACTCCACCAACAATGCAGTAGGGTCCAACCCAGGGTTATTTTGTGTCTGTTTGGCAGTAATGCTCTTGAAAGAGTTCAGGTCTTTCTTTCAATGTGTTCAACTTAGAATTAATGAGTCCTTGCATTCATATGCCCTTCCTATCTAGGCAATCATATTGTGAAAGTACTAAATATGCACAGATAGAGTTGTGAGCCTTACTCTTGATGATCTTACTACTCTTGTGAAAAGTCAGTATAAAAAATTATAAAATGTAATGAAATCTCCTAATAAGTTTTTATATATTAATATAATTTATCTGGCATATTGATTTTTTTATTTTTTTTTTTGTCAGTCGTGGGGCTTGAACTCTGGGCCTACGCACTATCCCTGAGCTCTTCAGCCTCAAGGTTGATGCTCTACCACTTGAGCCATACCTCCACTTCTGGTTTTCTATTGGTTTATTGGAGACAAGAGTCTCACAGACTTTCTTACTCAGGCTGGCTTTGAACCGAGATCCTCAGATCTTAGCCTCCTGCGTAGCTAGGATTACAGTCCTGAGCCACCTGCGCCCACCTTGACATATTGATTTTTTTAATTGAGTTCTTTTCTTTCTAGTACTGGCTTCATGCATGCTATGCCATGCTCTCAACCTTTTTGTTTAGTTCTTTTTTTCATTTTGGAAGTCCTGGGATTTGAGCTTGTGGCCAAATACTTGCTGATCAGGTTCCCTACTTCTTCTTTTTTTTTTCTTTTTTCTTTTGTTGGTTGTGGGGCCTGAACTCTGGGCCTGGGCACTGTCCCTCAGCTCTTCAGCTCAAGGCTAGTACTCTACCACTTAAGTCACAGCGCCACTTCCAGCTTTTTTTTTTTTTTTTCCTGCTTATGTGGTACTGAGGAATCAAACCCAGGGCCTCATGCATGCGAAGCAAGCACTCTACCACTGAGCCACCTTTCCAGGCCCAGGTGCCCTACTTCTGAGCCACACTTCCACCCCCCTTTTCACATTATTTTTTAGTTAGGGCCTTCCTTCCTGGGTGAACTCCTCTATTGAGATCCACCTATTTTAGGCTTCCTGTAGCTAGAATGATAGATACAGGCCACCATGCCATGCTTCTGTTGAAGTCATGTGGACTTTATTAGTCAAAAGGCTGATTTCATAATCCCAAAAAGCTGACAGGCATGTACAACCACACTAGTTATAGTTTGAGGACTCACTAACTTTCCTGCCTGAGCTGGCCTTGAACTGCAGTTAAATCTCAGCTTCCCAATAGGATTACAGGCATCCATCAGTACCCAACTAATTATTTTAGGTTTTTGAGATAGAGTGTTATACTAACTTTGGACTAACCTCAAATATAAAATCATCCTTTCTCTGCCTCTCAAGTAGTTGGGATTATAGGCATGCACCACCACTTCTGGTTTTAAAGCTCTTTCAAGTCTAGGTTTTTGCATTAATGGGAGCCCCTGACTTACTACTAAGCTCATTCATAAGATTTATGTTGTAACAGGAGAGCAAAGTCCCAATGTGTCACTGATGCAGAGAATGTCTGACATGCTGTCAAGATGGTTTGAAGAAGCAAGTGAGGTTGCACAAAGCAATAGAGGACGAGGAAGATCTAGACCTAGAGGTAATTTTTCTTAAATTTAAGTCATTGGAAAGCTGGGAAAAACTGTCATGGAAGCCAGCTTATATTCATATTTACATCATCAAAATCATTGATATTTTTATATATCTATAGTAATCACCAGATTTTAGTATATTTTGTCCCTTCTAGTTCTACAGGCCTTTCTCTTTGACCTATCTCAAAAATAAAATAAAAGAACATGAGTTTTAAGCCCTTTTAAAATATACCTTGAAAATGGAAATATATAAATTTTATAAATAAGCAAGTTTTCTGTACTTGGAAAGGTTTAACAAGAATGTGCTATAGATTGATTTTTTTTACCCTCCCCCACCTTGATTTGACTGCTTATTTGGTTAATTGTACCTAGCCACTAGTGGCTGTTATTGATATCCTGAAATAATAATTTGTTTTGTGTATATGTATGCATGGATGTGTTTTTTCAAAACATATCTCTTAAGTGTTGTTTTTTAACATTTTAAAATTTAAAAATTTGGATTTGCATAAACATATGTTTTTTAAAGGTGGAACAAATCAGATTGATGTTTCAGCTCTTCCTACTGTACCTTCAAGTCCTGATTTGGAAGTGGGTGAAACTGCAATGGATGTAGATACTCCAGCTGAACAACTTCTTCAACCGTCTACATCCTCTGCAATGTCAGTTCAGCCTTATTCAGTACCATCTTCCATGGAAAGCCCTCATTCTACTTTGTTGTCTTCTCCAGACAGTGAACAAAGGCAGTCTGTTGAAGCATCTGGACAGCATACACATCATCAGTCTGGTGAGGATTTTACTCAAGTAGGCTGTTCATCTGATGAAATTCTGGTAATGAAAACTTTTTAGGCTGTTTTGAATCACGTCAACTTCTTGGTGGAATTAATTATCAAAATGATTTGTAACATGTGAACATACACCTTAAAATTCAGTGAGTTTTATATAAGTAACAAGAATTGCATGAATTTTTTTAAAATAGCAGGAATCTAATTTACATCAAAGTTTTATAAAGATACGGTACCAGATGTTTTTACATAGTTTAATACACTTGATTACAGACCATCATATTTTTCTAGCCGTGTTTGGCTTTGAGTCTATATTAGAGTGGTAGTGAAAATAATAGTTCCTTATTGTTAGTCCCACTATATTATTTTACCTCAAGATAATTAATCTTTTTATATATTCTGGATAGTGAATTTGATGTGGCCTCTTATCAACAACAAAATATATTTTACCAAAATAGTTACTTCTCCACTATATACTTGAAAAAGAATATTTCTACCAAATTTTCATCTTCCTAGTACTAAATGTTAGTATCCAAAAATAACTCAAATTCTTTGAAAAATAAAAAATAACTCAAATTCTTTGAAAATACTATTTTTCTCTCATGTTCAACCTTTTTCCCTCCCAACTATGCAATATACTAATCTTTATGTCTATAGTGTACTTGGCATTTTAACCTACATTTATATATGTCTGTTTATGTTTATGTATAATTTATCCACATAAATACAACTTTTAAAATTATTTATTTTTTCCAGTCCTGGGACTTGAACCTTCAGGGCCTAGGCACTGTCTCTGAGCTTCTTTTACTCAAAGCTATAACTCCCACTTGAGCCATAGTGCCACTTCCGGATTTTTCTGTTTATGTGGTACTGAGGAATTGTAGCCAGGGCTTCATGCATGCTAGACAAGCACTCTATCACTAAGGCACATTCCCAACCCCCACATAAATATAATTAACAATAAAATGCTGATTTTTAAAGATTCTCCTAAGGAAGCATTTTAGATAGAACTAAAATTTATTACCAAGAAATATAGCTAAATTTACAGCTGTCAGACCTCTAAAGTAAATGCCTATTAAAAAAAAATCCTAACAGCTTAGCTGCTAAAACTGTCTCTTTATTCTGCTTTCTCTGGAAACTTAGGCCAAATTGCCAAATATGGAGTGTTTTAAATTAAGCATTATTTTAGCACTATATCTCATTTTTGGCAATTGATCTTAGTTTCTATATGAATAAAAGCCAGAGTGAATTTTGTAACTGTTAACATTATACATTTTCCATGATAATAAGCTAAAGCTGAGCTGCAAAAACAAGTTTCCTGTATTCATATTGACAAAGCACAGATGTATACAATTTAAGGGGGAAAATTATTCTGAAAGGTTTGAGAAGTAGAAGCATAAGGAATTAAAAAGGTTATTTTGCAGAGCAAATAAAATTGTTAGAGACAGAAAATTTTGAAGGGATAATATCTGAAGAAATATTCTTAAAGATTTTAACCAGTTTCAACCTCTGTTACCTGGGCTTGGCCTTTCCCCTTGGTCAGCTTGTACTTTATCCCTTGAGACACACCTTCAGCCTGGCTTATATGTATGTGTTTCTATATGTGTTCCTAGAACTTGAACTCAGGACATGGGTGCTGACCCTGAGCTTTTGTGCTCAAGGTTAGAGCTCTACTACTTGAATTACAGCTCTACTTCCAGCTTTTTTTGGTAGTTTATTAGGGATGAGAGTCGTGGGGACTTTTTCCAGTCTGGCTTTGACATCCTCAGATCTCAGCCTCTTGAGTACCTATAAGCCAATGGTACCCAGCTCAGCCTAGTATTTTCAGAGCTGGATTTTCCTGCCTTTATTGGCAACATTGTTGTTTGTTTTTTTTTTTAATTTCTATTTTTTAGGTGAAAGGAAAGTATCCTCTGTAAAGAGAGGTGCTGCCTCAAAGAGGAGTTCCCTGGCAGCCTTCTGAATAGCTAGGATTTTAAGTGTGAGCCTTTTACAACTCCGCTGTTTTTTGTTGTGTTTTTGTTTTTGAGACAGTGCTTCATAGCGCAGGCTGGATTCAAATTCATGATCCTCCTGCTGCTTCAGTCTCTAGAGAGCAGGTATTACAGACGTTCACTATCACACCCAGCTTAGTTGTGTTTGTTTTCTTAAATACAGTTGAGTTGATTCTTTTGGAATTTCATTTTCTTTTTCTTTTTTTTTTTGTTGGTTGTGGGGCTTAAACTCTGGGCCTGGGTGCTGTCCCTCATCTCTTCAGCTCAAGGTGAGCGATCTACCGTTTGAACCACAGTGCTACTTCTGGTTTTCTGGTAGTTAATTGCAGATAAGCATCTCATGGACTTTCCCACCAGGTTGGCTTTGAACTGCAATCCTCAGATGTCAGCCTCTTGAGTAGCCACGATTACAGGTGTGAGCCACCAGCACTCGGCTCCTTTTACTTTTACCATGGATATTTCATATATTTTCATGCCACATTTCAAATTGCTGTATCTCCAGTCTTTAGTGTATTAGATATTACAGTATTTTTTATGATGAACATATTATCATTTCAAAAAAGTAAACATGTTTTTAACTGGAAGATTACTGAGAGAATTTTGCTTGACGAAATTGAATAATCAGTTTTTGTGTTTCAAAGATAGTATCACTGTTAATGAAGAAGATTTGAGGACATATATTTAAAGGTTATGTTCTGTAATTGTTCTGACAGTAGCCCTTTCAGGAGTCCAATATTTCAACAGTAAGGACTTGTGTGTTTTGTTCTATTTTGTTTTGTCTTTTTCCCAATCCTTTTGCACTTAATATAGCCTAAGTCCCAATGGTTTGATTAATATTAAGAATTGTCTTTTGGATGAGTGTAGTAGGTAACAGTGTCAACCATGATTTCTGTTAATATATTTCTGCTTATGTGTTCTATAAACATAGAGAAAATGAAAACATTTGTTTCTGTCTTTATCTGTCTTGCTATGAATACCTCTTTATGTAAATGTTCATGACTTTTCTTCATATCCTTTTCATTTTCTTTGTCATTTTAATTAGTGAAGGAAAGGGGCAATGAGGATGTGAAAGCCACCTGGCAAAACTCTACCTGTGGTTGAACTTGCCTGCTTCCCTCTGTCTTCAACTGAATCACCAAGTAATAGTGAAGAAAATAATGACCCCAGATTTCAGTGGGTTGCTCAGCAGTATTAAAGTAGCCTGCCTTTCAATTCATTTTGCTGCCCCAGCAACATGTCATTTTACCCCTTATGTTTTTCAAACTTTTTTTTGGTGTGTGATACTGGGGTTTCAAGGCCTTCTACTTGCTAGAGGGCAGTCTTCTACTTGAACCCCCCAGCCCTTTTTATTTTCATAATTTCCAGCAAGTTGGCAGACTAGGATCCTTGAATTCACATTTCTTTCTCATTACTGTGAAGACAGATGCATACCACCACAACTAGCTTATTTTTGAGATGAAATCTTGCAAACTTTCTTTTTATTTATGTTTTTTATTGTAAAAATAGTGTACAGAGGAGTTACAGTTACACAAAGTAATGAGTACATTTCGTTTTGAGCATTGTTACCTCCTCCTTTGTTTTTCCCCTACCATCCCTACCTTCCCCACTTCCCCAGTTCCTCCCTCCCCCTGCAAAGTTCGTTTTCAACATAGTGTCTTGTACAACTCATTGTTAAAGTGGGTAAACCTATATCCTTATTTCAGCATTTTGTTATTTCCCTTCCCCTCTCCAAATTAGAAAAATGTATATACAAGATGCAGGGCACCAGAAGTCTTACAAACGTTCTGCCTAGGCGGGCCTCAAACGGTGATCTTTCCAAGCTCAACTTCCTAAGTAGGATTACAAGTATGACCACTGGGCCTAGCCATGTCTCTCAAATTTTTAACCATTCATCTTTCTTTTTCCCTTTTGGTACCAGTCCTGGGGCTTGAACTTAAGGCCTGGTCATTGTCCTTGAGCTTTTTTTGCTCAAGGCTAACACTCTACCACTTGATCCACAGCTCTCCTTCCAGCTTTTTAGTGGTTAATTAGATACAATAATCTCATGAACTTTCCTGCCTGTGCTGGCTTTGAACCATAATCCTCAGATCTCGGCCTACTGAGTAACTAGGATTACAGGCATGAGCCACTGGTAGCCAGCTTACTTTCAGCTTTATCTCATTTTAGCTGCAGAGTTTCATTTACAGTGAAAAGAAAAACATTCACTTTCTTGCTATCCAGTCTACTATTTTTCCATCATCTTTACTCACATTATGATAGAATCAGAAACACATCTTGGAGGAAATGTGTCTGTCAGATGCTAGCTAGTACAGTTTCTATTTCCTTGAAGCTCCTCAAGGACTGTGCTCCTACTCCTTTATCATTATTAATACCCGTTTTGTTTCCTTTCAGCCTCATACATGCTTTTTTTTCCTCTTTTTTCTTGCTCAGTAATTTTTTTGTCTGTCCTGGGTCTTGAACTCTGGGCCTGGGTGCTGTTCCTGAGCCTCTTTGTACTCAAGGCTAGTGCTCTACCACTTGAGCCATAGTGCCACTCCCTTCTCTTTTTTGTTTAAAAAAAAAAATCTGCTGTTAAGCTTCTCAAATTCTCCATAGCTTCTCTACTGTTTTTTTCTCTACTCCTTTTATAAAGTCTTCAAAAATGTTGTTTACCTGTACTGCCTCTTATCCTATTTATTCATCTACCATCTAGAATCTGTTTTTGAATCTCTAGTCCCTTTTTGTAAAAGCCACCAATGACCTACATCTTGTGAAATTTAGAGGATATTTGTATTAGATCTCAGTGGATTTTTTTTTTTTTACCCAGTTGCATTTAATATAGTCTTCTGCCTTCTTGAAACATTTTATGATACCATATTTGCCTGTTTACTGTTAATATCAGTTGTAGCTGGTTTTTAATAGCCATTAGTGTTTCTTATTCTATCTGTGTTTGAGTTTAATAGTTGAACCCCTGAGTCCTGGCCCTCTTGACTTCTCTATCCTTAGGTATTTATATCATTAGCCCAGAG